ACTGCAGAAAAGTTCAACGTAGGCACCAGCAGAAGAGGAGGAACGGCAAATCCCCCTCACTGAAGCTCTAGCGGGTGCCAGACCGAAGACCCCAACGAGGTGACTGGCCCACCGCTGGGACCCACCGAGAGACCTGAGCTTCTGGGAAACCGCTGGAGGGTTCACCCCAGAGGTGCCAGCCCGCCCTGCGACCAAAGTGGCAACGCCATGGGATGAGGGACAAGGGGTGAGGGAGCTGGAAGACGAAGTGCGCACACTGAGGAAGGAATTGGACAAGCTGAGGATTCTGGCGCAACCTTCCGTGCAACCTCCCAACCCCCTACAGGGGCCAGCGCCACTCAACCAGCCCTCCCCAATGGCTCCGCTGGAACCACCGACCCTTCCCCCTCATCAGGCCCCAGTCCAAACCCACGCAGGACGCGGCTGGGGAGCAGGCCAGCAGCAAGCCGCCCCACGACCGCAGGAGGAAGGGGACCTATTGCGAAGATGGGGGCTAGTAGAGAAGTACGACGGAGACCCTGCCCAACTGCCCGCCTTCCTGAACCAGGTGAGAATCTGCATGGGCACATGCGGGCACCTGTTTCCCAGCAATGCCTGGAGGGTGCTGTATGTATCCCGCTTCCTGGTAGGCATGGCAGCTGAGTGGGTGAACGACTTGAATGAAGCAGAGGCCCCAGAACTGGGGGACTTTAACCGCTTCATCACCGCCCTACGAGACCGATTCGAGGACCAATGTGCCTGCTCGCATGCTGCGGAGGTGATCAGGGAGCTGAAACAAGGGGCGTGCCCCGTATCAGACTATGCGCTGGAGTTCAAGCGCTTGGCGGCAAAGCTCCCAGACTGGCCGGAGGGGTTCCTCGTGCGGCTGTTCCAGGAGGGGCTGGACCAACGGCTCTTCGAGAGGGCCATGGTGCAAGGGTGCCCGGAGACCTTGGTGGGATGGATCACCCATGTCTCCGTGTTGGAGGCGCAACTGGCCAGAGTCAAACCGCACAGCGCGGAGGCGAGATGGCGGGCCCCTAACGCCCCACGGCAAACAGGGCAGAAACAGACAAGGAAGGAGTTAACCCCCTCGGCAAGGCCGCAGGCCGCGGGGAAAGCCTGCTTCATGTGTGGCGAGAAGGGGCTCTTCGTGGCGGCCTGCCCCCAGAACCCAAGGCTACAAACGGCGGCGAAAGGGAAAAAAGCCGAAAAACCTGCAAAGCCGATAAAAGCCCCACAGAAAAGCACGGTGGCGAGAGGTGAAGAAGAGCGGCTGAAGATTGCCTACCTCTCCAACAGCGAGGACGAAGGGGAGAGCGCCGGCGAGAGGGAGGAGAGCCCAAGGCGCGACCAGCCGATCCCGAGCAAATCGATCAAGAACATCCGGGTGAGTCCGATGACGTATGAGGTAGTGATCGGTGCTCCGCGATCGAGTCGTCGGGCCCGGCTCATAGCATTGCTCGATTCAGGTTGCTCCCGGAGTTCGATCAGCCCCGTGCTCGTCAACGGATTAAATTTAAAAGTGCACCGGCTGAAAACTCCCATAATCTAAAGGAAAGTGGAGGGAACAGCGGTGCGGGGAGGTGCGGTCCGCTACTACACAGAGGCTTTTGAGTTAAAAGTCAGAACGCACCAGGAGACTTTAAAATGCCTGGTCACGCCGCTGGCTAGTTACCCCCTCATTCTGGGAATGTCCTGGCTGGAACGGTGGGACCCCCGCATCAGCTGGCGGGAAAAGACGCTGACCTTTCCTGATGGTGGACGTGGGATTGTGAAGGCGGAGCCCAACCAATAAGGGGAGCTGGAGGCAGAGCCCTGAAGGAGCAGCGCCAAGGGAGGAAGCCCCATGTGGGGGGAGGGGAGGAAATCCCCTGGCAATATAGGGACTTGGCGAAAGTCTTTAGTGAAAAGGAGTCTGACCAACTATCTCCACACCGCCCCACAGACTGTGAGATTGAGATGGTGCCAGGAGCGAAGTACCCAGCCCCAAAAATGTACTCAATGACCCAAA